CATTTCCCATGGGTAATCCACCTAACTGCACATCTTTGGGCTGTGGGAGGAAACCCATGCAGATACAGGGAGAATGTGCACACTCTACATGGACTGTCATCCAAGTGGGGATTTGAACCTGGGTCTCTGTGGTTGTGAGGCAACAGTGCTAACCACTAAACCACTGGGCGAAAATCTCTTTTTCTCGATACTCTCTGCAATGCAAGACAGGGACAGTTAGTCTTAAAACAAGTTTTATTGATTTCAACACATTGATGCCTTTGATTCTGAGATCACAGTTTACAGAAGCCCTACAGTGTGGAAGCAGGCCATTCAGCCCATCAAGTCCACACTGACCCTCTAGAGACCATCCCACCCCCCAACCCTATCCCTGTTACCCTGCATTTCCTATGGCTAACCCACTCAGCCGACACATCCCTGAACACTATGGGGCAATTTAGCATGGCCAATCCACTTAACCTGCACATCTTTCGACTGTGGGAGGAAACCAGAGCACCCGGAGGAAACCCACGCAGACAATCACCTGAGGGTGGAATCAAACCAAGGTCTTTGGGACTGTGAGGCAGCAGTGCTAACCACTGAGCCACCATGCCACAAGCTTAATTAAATAATGCACTGGTGTTTGCAAGATCTATTCCTCTAAACCATTCAGAATGCAGATTAATGTTTCTCCCAGTGTTACTTCAGTGAAATTTATTGTATGTTTCCTCCCAAGTGAATTTCATATCCAAAGCTCTTACCTGTTCACAATCACTGGAACAACTTCCTATCTCAACTCTTAAGGAAATTTGTAGCGACCTGATGCTAGCTGAGAACAGCTAGTTCAGGAATTGTATTGAGCATTTCTTCCTGGCTCATATTCACACAGTGCCCTTTGTTTCCCAAGGTCTGTTGATGAAAGATTTATATTTCTTTGATGGAACAATATCCACTGTTCCTTGTATAGACTGCAGTTATCTGCACCTACCTGAGATATGAGTGTCACACGCTGTAGACAACCCCATACCGATGGAGATACCTGATACAGATATTACCTGTCCAAAAGAAATAAGAAAAAGGAAGTATTTAGAAATACCATCCTGTGGTATCAGACATTATCCCAACTTTGTAATATTCTAATAAAACCATTGACATCATGACAGGAAGTGATGTAATGTCACATGACCTTGATTTCTTTGGAAGAACCCGTTAGCAAGATGAAGTCACAGTAAGGTGTTTCTTAATTGATTCAGTGTGTGCTTTACATCAACAGACTCTATAAATATTCTGCATTGCCAGAACAAGACCAAGAAACTGATCTTGATCTCATCAGGACAATTTGCAAGAATATCAATTTAAGGGGAGAATCAACATTTATACCGTATGAAAGGTTAGTGATGATTAGTTGCCAAGCAGTCTCCGATTGGGAGAGCCATTTCCGTGCAGAATGCATCAGTTAATGATAGTAATGAATTGTTTAACTTCTAGGCAGGTTGACTCTGATTGATCAAGGCATTGCCCTGGGAAATGAGCTAACAAATGGCTGTCACTTTTTTGGTTGAACTGGAATAGGCACAATGTGTGTACCAGTTCTTTCTGTGTGTACAGAACATCATCCTACGTGTTAATACATGTAAATTTCATAACATGTAAATTTCATAACATGTAGATGTGGCACACTGTAAGCCAGACAGTTCCAAGTTCATTGTCAGACTACTTCTTGACACACTCAGGATTATCCAGCAATGATGTCCAATTACAGCATCAGATCTGATATTGGGCACCAGATGGGAGGATTTGCAGGCTGGATGCGTGCAGTTCGGTGACAGCCATTCACATGCCATTCCATTCCATCATAATGCAAAAGACTACACAATCCAGTGGTACAGAACTGAAGATCACAGGGACAACTGAATACAACCTCGAGGAACCGGAAAGCTGAGGCGATCGGCTGAAAATTTTAGAGTGATGACTCCACAGTTGTTCACAGGTTAAGGAAGCTGAACAGAGCTGACCACATCATTCTATATCTTGAAATATCGCCAGTGTGTCTGGGTGCACCCATAACAGTTCTTCATCCACTCCTGCCAAAAGTAAATGTGGAAATGGACTCTGTTGAAACAAAGGTTCTTTCATCTGTGATGGGACCAACAAACTGGGCTCAGGCTTGGTCCCAGTATCAAAGCCCATGGGATGTATCAAAATCTACTTGAATATTACACAGTTGGTCATAACAGTCGAATGTAAAGTAAACTTATGCTGTTTATCAGTTGGGGCCTCTGCCAAATTGGGTGGCATTCAAGCTTCAAGAAGCTAGATGCAAATAATGTGTATTAATGTCTGCTTTGGTTCAGTGTCAATTCTTTTATTTATCTGAAAACACTCCTGTAACATTTTATACATTATATTATGTTAAAGGCGTTAGATAAACGCAATGTTATTTTTGTTGATTTGGTTCCAAGGCCCACAGCAGACCTTGATAATCTGCACAGTTTACAGGTGAGCAGTCCTCCCGTGTGAGCCAAGAGACTGCCAGAGGGTGAACTCCCCATGAAGAGCATTAAGACGGAACCCAATATCACCCTCACCCAAAGCCCCCTACACGCATGGCACTTCCACGATGGGTCGTTGACAATGGTGATGAGCTGGAACCCCAAGTCGATAGAGTCACAGAGTCCTTCGGCATGGAGACAGGCCCTTCGGCCCAAACTGGTCCATGCTGTCCAAAATGTCCATCCACACTAACCCCACTTCCCTGCACTTGGCCCATATCCTTCTAAACCTTTCCTATACAAGTATCTGTCCAAATACCTTTTAAATGTTGTTAATGTACCCACCTCAACTACTTCCACTGGCAGCTCATTCCATATGCTTACCACCTTCTATGTAAAAAAAGTTGCCCCTCCGGTTCCCATGTATTCTTTCCCCTCTTACCTCAAACTGATGCCCTCTAGTCCTCAATTCCCCAACCCTGGGAAAAAGACTGAGTGCATTCACCCTGCCCATGCCTCTCATGACCTTATACACTTCTATAAGGTCCCCTCTCAGTCTCCTACACTCCAAAGAAAAATGTCCTAGCTTGTCCAACCTCTCCCTATAACTCAGTCTTTTGAGTCCTGGCAGCATCCTTGTAAATTCCTGATGTTCCTGTTCTTTAGCCTGGGGTCACTGAAGCACTGAAGCTCTAACTAACATTGAGAGCGGCAGGTAAAGACCAGGCTTTTTCACAACGAAAATCTCATCAGCTGATAAAGGCACTGAGCTTGAAACTGATAGGAAGCAATGCAATTTCATCACTATTTTAGACAGGAGACATTAGGATCAATAAATGTGAACATTCTTAACATGAACTCACCGCTGTGGCAAGACTGACTGCACCCAATTCAACTTTTCCTAAATGTCCACAGAACACAGAGCTGACAGTATTTATTAAGCGAATCATCAGCCGTGATAAAAACTGTGAAAGGAAAATGAATGAGAAATAGTTTACACTGGCCAATGAATGTTGATCATGTTCATAAACATTAAAAATTACTTATAACCTAGTTCAACAGATCAAATTTCTTATTGAAAACAATAATCATGTTTCTCCATAATGGTAACAGAAGTCGGTTTCATTGAGGGCTTCAGGATGATGAGGGATCGCGTGCGCTGATGAAGGGTTCAAATATCAGGATTTATGAATGAGAAATAATGTTCTTTGAGGTAATCAGACAAAATCAAGCAGAGGATTGTTCCTTTTAAGATAGGGAGTTGTAGAATAAATCAGCAGACAATATTACAGTGGATTTTGTTAGGAATAA